AAAAATTACAAAAAGAACCCTCAAATGAAACATTCAAGGATAATGAACCGAACTGACTGATAGTTTCACTCCTCAAAAAAAAAAAATTATGATAATTCTGAACAATATCAGCTTTTGGAAAAAAGATCTTCACCATTTTAAAAGACTCTGTTGACTAATTCGTTCTAGAATAAATTTTACTTTCCCGTTCGTACATTTACCGCACTCCACTATGGACAGACTCGCTCCAAGCTTAACACAGATGCTAATTTTCATGAATAACTGAACAACTTATTTTACAAAAGTCAAATAAATAGTTGGGATAATCATTAAGGTCAACAAATTCGGAAGGAATTTTTCATTTCTATTTCCAAATGAAATGATAATTTTGCCTGAAAACCTGCACTACAAGACGAGGCATCTACATGGCTCAAAAATGTAGCAAAATCATTAATTAATAAAGATGGGATATCACGGTAAAAGTTTGTGGTAAAGTTTAATATCACGGTAAAAGTCCGTGGTAAAGTTTACCTAACAAGATTAGTGCGCAACACAACGGTACCACGATCAAAAACGTTCGAATATGGAAGTTGTTTTTCGGCTGGTCGAAGCTGCATCTGCTGCTGCTGTACAGCCAGTGCTGCTACAAATAATGGTTAAAATTGTACATTCCTTACAAAATAGAACAATTTTTGACTTCGTCCGTCACCTACTTATTTTATCGTGAATTAATATATCTAAGAAAATCAAAATTTCAGTTACAAAGTTGAATTTTTTAGCGTTTCTGCTCAGAAATTTCTCGTCTAGTCACCATAAAATGCCATAGTAACGACAAGCAAGATGTAATAAATGCGCATTTTTTGCTGCGGTAGAACTGGAGGAAGAAAATGAATGCTCAGAACGGCAACAGAGTGAGCATCGGAAAAGTAACTCTGAACAAATCCGATTATAAAAAGACAACTAACCGTATCATGGCACAGAGGGGTCTCGGGGGAGGAGGGAGAGGGAAGAGGGAGGGATACGCTAAGACGGATGCTGCTAAAAAATGCCTCAAGTCTTGCGGTTTTTGAAATAATTGCAAATGACAGTAAGCGTCGTGGAGGCCCTGCCAGCATCATATGAATAACTAAGGACGCGGGGAGGGGGGAGGGGGCAGTAGGGGAGGGGATTAGGAAATACAAACGGTCCAGCCGGCGGCAGCAGACCAATAATTCGGAAGGGGTGAAGGCTAGAAAACGTTGTTAATTGGGATATGTATGTAAACCGTTTGTCATGTCGTTGTAAACCGTTTGCAAAAACTTACCATCACTGTGGTCAACATGTATCCATTCTGCACTTGTTCCTTTTGCCAACGATACGGCACTGTCATTGTGCTCCGAAAGCGTTGAAAACGATGAAACCGATCCTAAAAAGAGACGCAATTTTGGACGACAAGAAAAAAAACGAGTTTAGGTGTCAAACAGCAAATAATATTCAAAATTGCCAGTTTTGTCACTATAGTCTTATACTCCTCCACTTCCCTAGCAACAATAGGCGCTATGCAGAAGGCAGTTTAACTTTGAAACGGCAAAGTGAAGGAGAGAATATGGAACATTTCTTCCCAAAAAATGAACAAAAGCAATAAAAAAAGAACGCCGAAATCGTTACCAAGTTCGCCTGTGATCGCAACCCCTGGTGAAGTTTTGATGACAAACAAAACGGAAAAAACTGGAAGTTGGCGAAGTGTGGAATCAGCTAATAAAGGGTACAGAACAAAGTAAACCGGTTGTTATTTTAGTGCTTTTCTATAGGTAGCGATACTTTTTCAACACTAATAAACCAACGCTGACTTCGCGAAACATATGAATGGAGAAAATCCTCAATAAATCTAGAAAAATTTAACGGCGAACAAGTCAAAATGCATCGATTGACGAGAAAACTGGACCAACTTAAAAAAGTAAGAAAACACAAATGAAGTAAATTTTTAGTGTTTAGCTTTTTTTCCTGCCTGACTCGCGAAATCGCTTCCCGCCAAAGAAATTTGCGTATTTTTTTGTGGGGTCCGTACGAGGGGTTTAAGCGCGTCTTAAAACGGGAGGTGACACACTGGCCTCCCAGTTTTCCTGGTTGCTGAATTTTTTTAATCTTTGAGATTTAGACCTTTCAGAATATCAGATGTGTAGCCGCGATCAATTGCTATTGCTTCACTGATATCATCGATGTGCAGCCGGCCCCGATCCTGCTCGGTGTCACTATGTACGCGGCGCTCTTTAAACTTTGATACTTTCTCGGGCACAACTGACTGCAAAGCATAGGAATTCTTCTAATAAAATTAAAATTAAGTAAATTGGGATCAAACTTTCATAGCTACAGAAGATTTATATCTGCGGTATATTTAGTCCTCGTTCACAAAACGCACAAAAACAAAAGTGCGAACACAACACTATAAACAACGGTGCGCACTAGAACGGCCGGTGTGGTCAAGTGTTTTGCGCAGTTCCGTTTAGCGGATGTTTGCTGTTAAGAATTTTCACTGTTCCAAAATTTACTGTGAAAAAATAATGGATATGTTGCTGGGCTCCCAAGCAGAGGAATTTCCCACTAAAAACTTCACCGTTGCATGAAATGTACGTGAAAGCTGAATTTAAAACCTTTGAATAGCAAATGGACGGACACTTCATTCCAAAATTTCAGCTTTCTAGTTTTCAAGCTTCCAAGTTAGTGCATTTCGCGCCAAAACTTTCACGAACCTAAGCATACGTGGGGCATAAGCATACACTGGGAGGTGACTTAAGTTTGTGAGTTTCCTGCACAAGTAGAAAACATCACCCTGAAATCTCAGCCTTCTAGCTCTTCTAGTTTC